GAGATTGAGAGAGAGAGAGAGATTGAGAGAGAGAGAGAGAGCCATTACATGGATTGAGCTCCGAGGTTGAACAAACCAACGAACTCGAAAATCCCTATTTATGTACCTGCAGAAAAAGTAAGTAGAACAACATTAAATCTCACAATTCTTTGTAAAAATTAAATCTTGACCAAAAATAACAAAGCATTTAGTTCTTATGAGAAGTGTGTTCTTGGGGGTGAGGGTGGGAGTACTGAGTACAGAGGACGAGCAATTATGCACTTACATTTGTAACAGTAACAGACACAAGAAAATTGTTTATATGGAAAATTACAACACAAAAGAGACAGATTATTCATAAAATCTGTGCAGATGTAAATGGGGTCTGATTTTCTTTGTCTCATTTTAAAGCTGGAATTTTTATTTTTATTTTTATTTTTATATATCGGCTGGGAGCACAAGAGGAGGTCGACGTCGAGCTTTCTTTTTTCATGGTCAAGAATGCCCCTAATCAGTTCTTAAAACCACAGTTTGGGCATTTCAAATTAGTTGGTATAATATTATGTAAATTTTGAATATATGAAACAAGAGATTCTCGTTAAAAATAATATCATTACTGTGAGATATATTTGGTAAATACAATCAACTTTATTATAATCGTCGATTTAAAAAAACTTATATTATAAGTTGGTTGAAATTAGCTTATTGTATTCAATAAGCTATTTCAATATATTATAGGGAAATGTTATGATCCCGTTATGTATCATCACGTCGGATGTTTTAACCGTTTGATACAGATGTAGTTAGTATAAGATAGATGATTCAACAGTTAAAACACCCGACGGGATGATATCGTAACGGGACCATGACATTTCTCTTATTTTTATTTACCAAACAAATTAAATGAAAACTTTCAATGGGTCTGATTTCTAATTTAATGAACACTAATCACCAAACAAGATCATAAATTTGTTGGACAAATATTGTTACTGAATATTTTAATAATAATATTCAACTAGTACAATACTCATGTATTACGCGGGTGTGGAATTAAGAATCATATATAACAAATATTAAAGTTTTTATATTACTTTTTTTAAAAACAATTTATGTTTTGATTAATTGTAAAACTATATTTTCTTTAATAATATTAGTTAAACACTCGTATAAATTTTAGAATTTATATGTCAAACTACATATTTTTAGCTTTATATGTAATTTTAGAATTTAAATAAATAATTATTTATTTTGATTAGATTTACATAATACCAATTAGAGTATTAAACAACGTCATTTCTAAAAGAATAATATCGTATTACTTATCTTCGGAATGGGTAATATGTGAATATTGGAGAGAAATGTTGAGAAATAAACTAATATGATTAATTTATTTGAAGATATACAATAGAAATAAAGAAAAAAAAAAAAA